ACATCCCCAACTGGGGACTGAGCCCGCACCCTGGGCATGTGCCCTGACCAGGAATCGAACTGCGATCTCCTGGATCCTAGGTTGATGCTCAACCGCTGAGCCACGCCCGGCCGGGCTCACGCATCTCCAGACCAGGTCTCAGCCTTCCCAATACCCAGGAACTTACTGCTGCCGAGGATGCGCCAGCCCTGCCCCAGTCTGGCTCCCTCCTGCAGGGACATTAACAAGCATCCTGCCTCGGGTTGTTACACAGAGTTCACAAACATTTGGCTAAAAGTGGGTGAATCTTGCAGAGCAAGAGCTAACTCCATATAAGTCAACTAATGACAACTCAAGGAAACGGTGTCTCAGAAAAGTCAGCTCTGGGAAGGCTGCTGGACTCACCAGCCATGCTGTCCGCATGAAAGCAAGCGACAATTATATTCACAGTCACACTCGGGTATCGCTCTGCCCGTAACAGTCTAAACAGAAACAAACCTTTGGGCTAGGCGGGTGGGACGGAAATTCAGGAAGAGACGGGAAGGCCTGTCTCTGCTGAGGCCTTGGGCTGTATCTTGATTTCAGAATCTTGGCCAGGAGAAGGTGGGGGTGCGGTGGGGGTGGCAGGGAGCGGGGAGAACGTAGACCTCGAAAATTATTTTCCCAATTCAGACTCTTAGAAATGAGTCATCATGAACCCTGATGTCACAGATGACCCCTTAAGCAACCATCTGATCACACAACTCTCAAATCATGATTATTTTCACAGGCCTGGGCAACGAGACAGAGGCAAGTGAGTCTCGCTGTTCTCGGCACTGCCATCCAGGTCGGCTGCAGTGTGTGGTTCAGAGAGCAGAGCACTGACAGGTCCCCCCTCTACACAGGCGCCTGGCCCGCAGTGCCACTGTCACCCTCACATTTATTAGATTAGGAGACTCGTCCCAGCCAGTCACACTGCATCCCTGTCGCCAGCACATACCAGTTATGGGCTGCTCAGGCCTCTCCAGAGGTGTTCCTTAAAGCCATTTGTAGTTTAAAAGCTTCTGTTATTATTTTTAATCCTCACTTGAGGATATTTTTTCCATTGCTTTTTAGAGGATGTGGAAGGAGGGTGAGGTTGCAAGAGAGAGAAAGAGAGAGAAACATTGATGTGAGAGAGACACATTGATTGGGTGCCCCCTGCACGCACCCCGAGCCTGCAACTGAGGTATGTGCTCTTAGCCGGAATTGAGCCCGGGACCCTTCAGTCCTCGGGCTGACGCTCTAACCACTGAACCAAACCGGCTAGGGTGAGCTTCTATTATTTTCTGTAAGTACATGCATACTGTGCCAGAAGTTTCTGCCTTCTTAGATCAAAACGGAGGGTCCTCACTTCCTAGTTTGGCACCAGCAGGCACTGTGCTAGTTTTAGATACTTTAATTAATCCACAGCTAAAGCGACAGGTAGCAGACTATGACGTGAGTGACCAGAGGAAGTATATGGTGGACCTAATTTTAATTCAGCCAAATGGTCAACAGGTGACTTCCCTGACAGGGAAATTTGCTTTTAATGTACGCTCCTTAATTCTGCATCGTGGGCACCCCGTGTGTGAGCTTCGGCAGGAAAACAGTGGTGCAGAGAAGAGCGTTTTTAATTTCATGGGCCCCTGAACAGACAGACACCTTCAAGTTAAGGACAGAGGACCAACCACGTTAATGTCAAGTAGGAGTGGTGAACATGTGGAGTTCTCCCTGCAGCCCGAGCAGGTTCCCAGTCTCCGCATTAAATGCACAGTTCCCCGTGTCCCCCTAACAGCTCCACGTGAAGCCTAGAGGCCGACAGGCCCTGTGCTTCCCCGAGTGTGCTCCTGAGACCAGCAGGGTCAGCCTCGCCCGGGGACTGCGCGGCCCCGCCCAGACCCAGGGAACCAGAAACTCTGGGAAACTCTGGGCGGGGTGCGGCCACCTGCTTTCACCCTCCGCAATCTGTGTTTTAATGAGCCCTCCAGAGGATCCTGACCCAGTTGCAGAACAGAAATGAAATTTGGGCCAACCACCAGCAGTGTTTTCCCACGTTCAGAAAACAAGGAAAAGGTACGAGTGGGATTTACGGGCTCCGCAGCCCCACGGCCAGCCTTACCGCGGCTGCTGGTGCCTTTTTGATTCTGGGTCCTGGGGCAGACACTGCTGGTGGGGATGCCTGCAGGGACAACGGAGACACAGATGGAGAATGTTGCCAGGTCTCTTCCCTCCAAACTAAGCCAGTCCCCTGGACCTGACAAACCACTGGGTCCAGAGACAGAGCGCGAGGCAGGGTCATTCTGGAGAGGGCAGTGCCACAGCCTTGTCCGTGCCATAGCCTTGCCCATGTCTGCTGTGGCCCTGCCAGGCCTGGCTTTCTGAAACAGACTGGGGGGGACCTGATGTTTCTGGACCACAGGCACTCACCTCAATTCAGGACTTTAAATTTCAGCTTCTCAAAACATGTGTTTGCTTGAGTATCTATACTGAGAAAGGGGACCAAAATAAAGGGAGTGCAGCTCAGCACTCCCTCCCCACACGGGCTTTGGTTGTAGATGTTAATGATCTGAAGACACCGGCCCCTACAAGGCAGTTAGCATGAGCTGTCACACTGGGCACAGGGCGGAGCCTGGCGGGTGCCCCTCGTCGGGAGGCCACCTGCCACAGTGGCTCTGAGGTGGAGAGCACTGGACTCGGGAACTCCTCCCGGCTGGTGGGGGCAGAGCCAGAACCACTGCTCCTTAGAGTTTCGCATTCTCAAGCGTGTGGGTCACAGAAGAAAGTAAAAAAAGAACAGCTACAGTATTTTACCAGCTACAGAATTCTAAAACAGGCAAACGGAAGGTTGGACAGCACAGAAAACGATTACCATGAAATCAAAGGCAGCAGCTACCTCTCGTGGGAGGCGTGGGCCATCGGGAGGCAGACGCGGGTGTGGGGGCAGCTTCCAGAGCGCCAGGAAGAAATGTCCTTTTTTGGACCTTGACCTGGGTCCTATTTCTTGACCTTCCTGACCTGGGTTAAACAGTACTTTTCAAGCGCCATTTTCTGTGTTATATGTCACAACAAACAGTGTTTTAAAGGTGCTGAAGCTAGGAGGCTGGCTGGGGGGCTCACTAGGCCTGTGGCACTGGCACTGACCTCTTCAGATATTGCTCCCTCCCCCTTGTCTACGGCTCCCACT